GATCGAATGGGGTCATCCAGCCCAGCCATCCTCATGAAATTCGCACGAGGAGTCGTCTGGGTCATCCGGAGGCGACCCGCAGCGGTAACTCTGGCGGTAACTCGGCGGTGACCTGTTAACGCCACAACTACTGCATCAACCGATTCATCCTCGAAAAATTAAACACATTGAGGACTGTGGTGAAGATTCACATTTAGGTTACTTCAAATTTTAGTTTTCGAGAAATAATCACACCAAAAACTATGCTTTGGCTTTGGCAGCGGGACTGTTCTACGAGCACGAGTGGCAGGAGATCATGGCCTTCAAGGCGGCCATCGAGCGTGTCAACATGGACAAGGTGGTGCTGCCCGACGTGAAGCTGGTCCCCGTCGTGGAGGTGCTCGATTCGACGGACGGCTTCAGCCTTAGCAAGAAACGTAAGTCGAGCGGAGGCCGATGACCCGTCTTGGGAGGTCGTACACTCACCCCCGGAAAGTACGTCCGTCATTCACCGTTGCGAACCTGCAAAAAAATGACTCACCCCCTGCGAGCTCTTGTAGCGCCTGGCGGGTAGGCAGCATCTCGTCTGCAGTGCATGCGTGCACTGCGGCGTGGCCTACCCTGAGTCTCACAGGCGTCAAGGTCCCGTAATTCGCCGACAGAATCGCAGAAAAACGGGCGTGGTTTCCGGAAGATCCGAAATACGTGCGTCATTTTGTAGAGGACGGGGCATATTTGTACTACTTAAGTTATTCCACGGGCACGCGGATACATTTTTCATGGCCTCATATGTATTAAAATGGAGAGATCACATTCATGTGGCGTGAAGAAATGCCCCCACTTCTTAAAAATTTCGTAAATTGCGTACTATTCCAGACAGTCTGAAAGTAAATCGCATATAAAGTAGTTTTAAAAGCACTCACCCTCTGGCGTTGTCCAGTTTGCAAGCTGACGGAGCAGGGCGTCGCCGCCATCTTTGGTCCGAGCCGCAAGGAGAACATCAACATCGTCACCTCCATCAGCGAGACCCTTGAGATCCCGCACATCCTCACGCAGACGTTCACCTCCAGGCGGCCGACCAAGGTCAGCGTGAACATCGCGCCGGACCGCAAGAGCATCTCCCAGGTGACGTGATAGGCTTTCGACTCAATCTCCTCTCTGGAAAACGACGTCGGAAATGAGTTCCGTAACGGGGTGGAAATGGACTTCCGGTCGGCAGGCGATTGTGACGCTGCTGCAGGACGACATGGGGTGGGACACGTTCACCGTCATCTACGAGGACGACGAGGGCCTGTTCCGGCTGCAGGAGGTGCTCAAGGCCCACGGCCCGCTCGACCCGCCCATCACGATGCGCCGGCTCGGCGAGGACCCGGACATTAGGTGAGGACGGGAGCGCAGCGCTGCCGGACTTCCGGTCCGCGGGGACGGGGCTGGCACTTCTGGGCGCGGGACTGGACTTCCGGGGGCTGGGCTGTGGGAGCGAAAGTAGATGAGCCATTTCGCATCGCGTCCCGTCGATAGGCGTCACAATGATGTGGCCCCCTTTACTTGGGATTTTAACTTTCCGGGAAAAGAATATTTGGGAAATCATTCAAAAAGAATTTTTCGTGAAAAGTATTTTTTTCCACTAATTTTTCCAATTGTTTTTCTGAAAAAAGTTTTCACTTTCCCTGGTAAAATTTCGGATTTTCAAATCCCCTCCTCTTGGTGTGTGCAGGCCGCTTCTCAAGAACATCCGCAACAGCAGCGAGTCCCGCATCCTGCTGGACGTGTCCGCCGACAAGCTCATGGACATCTTCCAGCAGGCTAAGCAGGTCAACATGATGGGCGAGTACTTCAGCTACCTGGTCACCTCGCTGGACGCGCACACGCAGGACTTCACCGAGATGAACGAGTGGGGCCTGTCAGTGTCCAACGTGACCGGGGTGCGCCTGGTGGACCCGGACTCCTCCGTGGTGCAGAACGCGCTCCAGGACTGGCTGTACAGCGAGCGCCTCCGCGGGACCACCGTCACCCTGGCCGCGTCCGAGATCAAGGTGAGGACGCACGGCTACCGAGAAAATCACGTGCCTTGGGATTTAAAAGTAGTTTCAAACTCTCCCATAAAAAGATGAAAAAAAATAAATGAAAAGTTGCCCGAAAGATGAAAAAAAAGGGAAAAATGAAACTTTCCAGGAAAAAGTAGAGAGATTGAAAAAAATTCCCAAAGATACTGTTTTGGAAAAGCAAAATCCCTACGTTCACCAACCGGTTCCCACCCCGCAGGCTTCCTCTGCGCTCATCAACGACGCCGTGCACATGCTGGCGCGCTCGCTGCACCTCCTGAACCAGACCACGCCGTCCATCTTCGAGGAGCCGCTGTCCTGCGACGGCGCCAGCACCTGGCAGCACGGCGTGCGGATCGTCGAGTTCATGAAGGCCGTGAGTCAGACCCCGCCGCCACGCCAGAGCTGTAACAAAGTTTCGAAATTCTACAGAGTTGTATTCGAGGGGTTGATAACTCCCCTGCCAAATGTACACCCCTAATTCTGCCCAATTCAAACTAATTCAGACTAATTCAATCTAATTCAAACGAATTCAAAAGTAATTCAACTAATTATGTCCAATTCAAGACAATTTACATTCAATTCAAGTCAATTCAAGCCAATTTAAGCCAATTCACACTAATTCAGCAGAATAAAATCGCAATGATTCAAACCAATTCAAAAACAATTGAACCAAATTAGTCCAATTCAAATTCAATTCAAGCCAATTCAAATTCAATTTTTGAAATTTGTACACCCAATTCAGGAGTTATTCACCCCTCGGTTGTATTGAAGTTAATGTTTGCGTCGACGTGCTTCCAGCAATACAGCGATCCGGAGTACGAGGCCGTCGGCATGACTGGGCCGCTGTCGCTGAGCGCCGACGAGAGTACCGACGGGTCAACTTCACGCTCACGCTCATCGACACGCGGTCCAACAACGCGACGGGCACGTGGAACGCCTCGGGCATCCACCTGTTCCGCTCCGTCGAGGACATGGAGCGCAGCGTCCGGGACATGCTCTCCAGGAGGCTCATCAAGGTCGCGTCCAGGCTGGTGAGTCGACAGGGTCCGTCCACGTCCCGTAGCCTGAAAAAAAATAAACAAACGTGTCCTTAAACCCTGAAATCAATCGGAGAACCGTGAAAAAAGTGCAACACTCTCGCAAAGCGACGTAATGTATGCAACAAAGCTCAAGCTGGTTCTGTCTCTCCTCCAGGGCATGCCGTTCCTGGAAAGGAAGGCCAACTGGAGCGAGGACATGGGCAACGACGGGTTTCGTGGTTACTCCATCGACCTGATCTCGGCCATCGCCAAAGAGCTCAACTTCACGTTCGAGTTCTACCTGGTTGCGGACGAGGCCTACGGCAGCCGCAACAGGGACGGCAAGTGGAACGGCATCATCAAGGACCTCATGGACAGGGTGGGTGACTGAGCTACGACCCTTGGCCGGGCGGTGGAGCAGAACACTGACTAGGTGCTTGCAGAAGGCGGACCTCGGCATCTGTGACCTGACCATCACGTACGAGCGGGAGCAGGCGGTGGACTTCACGATGCCCTTTATGAGTCTCGGCATCTCCATCCTGCACACCAAGGCCAAGCCGCAGGACCCCAACCTCTTCTCCTTCCTGGAGCCCTTCTCCACGGAGGTGTGGTTCTACATGGCCTTCGCGTACCTCAGCGTCTCGGTGCTGCTCTTCTTCCTGGCGAGGTTCGTTCGCATCGAGAGTTTCTAGTACTTACAAGTTAGTCCACCTTGGAGACAGATTCTCACAATAATTTACTTTCACGCCGTCGAGAGGTAGGTCCTGGACGAGGTCATGGACGCGATCCTGGACGAGGTCCCGGACGTGGTCCTGGACGAGGTCCTGAACAATGTCCTGGACAAAGTCCTAGACGAGGTCCACGACGAGGTCCTGGACAAGGTCAAATGAGCAAGGTCTTGCAGGGCCTCTGCCTCCACGAGTATGGCGTGCTGCTTGTGCTCCCCAGGATGACGCCGTACGAGTGGGACAACCCCCACCCCTGCGACCCGAACCCGGAGGAGCTGGAGAACACGTTCGACCTCATCAACAGTTTGATGTTCTGCATGGGCTCGTTGTTACAGCAGGGCTGTGACTTTCTGCCCAAGTAAGCCCCCGCGAGACACTCGGGCCGGGCCCCCCGGGCCCCGCCCCCCCCTGCAGCACGCCGCCGTCACGCCCCCCAACAACCTGCTCGCTCGGCCTAGAAACGTTTTCTCTTACCCTTTCATGGTCATGTTGCTTCTGGCCCGGGCCGGGTCCGCCGGGGTCCACCCACGGCCTGGGAGCCGCCAGGGTCGCCCTGACCCCGGCCGAGGGGTACTTCACCAGAAAAAGAAGTGTACACCCTAAAAAAAAAATCAGAAAAAAATAGAAAACAATTAGATAAAAAGTCAGGAAAATCAAGACATAGTGCCAAGAAAAATCAAGGAAACTTAGTGTACGCTTAAACTTATGGTGCAGTACCCCTCGGTCCCAGCCCGACGCTGCACTCCGCCCCCTGTGCCGCATCCTGTGCCGTAACAACTCGGGGGGAGGGTCGCCGTCACCGCGCCAGGTCGTTGCGAGCCCTAGCCTCAGTCTCCACTCGGCTCGTTTGCAGGTTTACGCCTTACGAGTGGGAGAACCCCTCGCCGAACGCCGACGAGGGCTTCCTGGAGTTCTCGCTGAACCTGGCCAACGCCATCTGGCACAACGTGGGCTCCCTGATGCAGCAGGGCTCGGATATCGCCCCAAAGTAAGGGGGTGGGCGGGGGCGGGTGGAGCCGGGGGGACGTCAGAGAGTGGCCTAAAGGGGGTCGTACACAAATTACGCCGTTTCCAAAGGGGGTGGGGTAGCGGGTCACTATTTCACGACCCTCCAAATGAGTACCGGGATGATGATGGAAACCTTTCTAGATGCCATATGGTACACCGTTTCCCTCCCGAGGAATGTGTGTCACCTGCGGGGATCATCAGGGCCGCAGAACGCTTTCTATACGTTTTACAGTCGCACGAGTTTGCCGTGGTGAAAATCTAACTGTTCGATGGGCTTCAATCGACATCCGGAACTTCGGATGCTTAATTTCGCCCATTCGAGCGATTCAAGCAGTTTACCAGAGAAATCTGTCAGCGATTGACGATATGAAAGAAATAGAACAAAGAAACAGCCGCTGAAAATATTTTTTTCTTGCATATTTTACCTCAGAAAAATGTGGGTAAAAATTACAGGAAACATCCTTAAACATTTTTACAGAAATATTTGGTATCAGTTTTACAGAAATTTTGTGGAGTTATTTTTACAAGTGTTCTGTAATTTTACAAACACTGGTACCAGACTTTATATTGGCGTCTAGTATACCCAGACTTTATCTGTAAAATCTCCCCGAAAATTTCTAACAGTGCAACCGACTTAAAGCCTATCGTGCAGAGTTGATCACCACGACAAAAGTCATTGATTCTTCCAGCGCGCTTCATCCGATGACGTAATTTGTAGACGACCACCCTTTTCACTTCGTTTTTCGCTCGACTTTTAACAGGCCTAACGACCAATTCAAACGCGACCGCGTTACTTTTCGTTTTCCTCTAGTTTTGCTGTTTTGTTTGTGCGTGTGTGCGACCCCCCCCCCTCTGTAAATAATTGCTCCTTTCCCCTACGTCTGGGCTCGGCACGGAGAGCACCACGTGTCTGTTGCCTGTCTCAGTGGCCATGTACCTCCCCCCTCCCCTTACCTGGGGCCCCGTCTCGCGGTCGCCCTACTAATAATGCGCGTTAGTCCCTCACCCCCAACGCAGTGCTCATAGCTGTCGTTGAGGCAGTATTATCTATCGATCTAGAGGCCTCCCATATACCACTGACAACACTGTTAAAAGTTTGCCGGGTGAATTTCCATCAGCTTTGATCAGTACAGAGTATACTGTCGAAGTCAGCCCCGCGGCCGGGCCCGGCGCGCCCCTCCCTCTCGCTTCAGCTAGCCACAGCCATCGGCCTTATTGTGTGCTTTTAACGATACCTTAACCAAGAAGCCATAACCGCCCCATTCAGGGTTAGGCGTTACGATGCTTAACGTTTTCCTGCAACCTCAAACGTTAGCCAACAAAAACCCAAGTGTGTGAATGTCGCACACTTGTTGGTGTGCGAAAGTCATTCTCACAGGCGTGTGAATTTCAAATGAAAATTCACACCTTTGTTCTCTTAAGTGTACGAATGGTCATTCACACACCAACAAGTGCGTGACATTCGCACACTTTTCGTTTTTAGTGTTGACTAGCTGAAGAAACAAAAGTGTACGCAACGGCTTTAATTCATACTAACCATTTAAATGAAACTAAAATTTAGAGGAAGAATTCGGTCATTACTCAGACTAACCCTTGCAAAGCCGCCCGTCGTCAGTGGTCGCGTATTGTCGCCAGGGCGCCGTCGACGCGCATGGTGGCGGGGATGTGGTGGTTCTTCACGCTCATCATGATCTCGTCGTACACGGCCAACCTGGCGGCCTTCCTAACCGCCAGCCAGAAGACGGCCCAGATCGAGAGCGCCAAGGACCTGGTGCAGCAGACCAAGATCCAGTATGGCTGCATGAAGGGCGGCTCCACCGAGTCTTTCTTCTCCAAGTCCAACTACTCGGACTACCAGCGCATGTGGGACGTGATGGAGAACGCCGAGCCGTCCGTGTTCGTCGCCAAGAACACGGACGGCGTGGAGCGTGTGATGAAGTCCGAGGGCGGCTACGCCTTCCTCATGGAGTCCGTGAGCATTGAGTACCAGGCGGCCAGGAAGTGCGAGCTGCGCCAGGTCGGCGGGCTGCTGGACTCCAAGGCCTACGGCGTGGCCCTGCCTAAGAGTGAGTGGACCAGCCCCGACAACCCCGAGTTACATTTACATTACCGGCAGCAACAACGACCGGATTACCCTCTGGTTACCTTTGGGTTACCTTCGGGTTACCCTACCCTCGGTTTGCCTTGGGGTACCCTCAGGTCACCCTCCGGGTACTCTCGGATTACCCTTGGATTACTTTCAGTCAGATTACCTCGCATTACCCAAGTCGCCCCCCCCCCCATTTCCACTCCACCCCCACTGACGCCGTGGTCCCGGTGCCCGCAGACTCGCCGTACCGCAGCCTGGTCTCGGCCGCTGTGCTAACGCTGCAGGAGACGGGCCGGCTGGCGCAGCTCAAGGACGTCTGGTGGCACCAGCTGGACGACGGCACCAAGTGCAGCTCCCAGGAGTCGGCCGGCGAGGTAGACAGCTCGGGCAAGCTCGGCATCGGCAACGTGGGTGGCGTGTTTCTCGTCCTCATGTACGGCTGCATCGCTGCCTTCTTCATGGCCATCATGGAGTTCGTGTGGAACTCGAGGCTCGTCGCAATCGAGAACAAGGTCTGCATTATTGAGCTGCACATCTAAAAACAATTTAGCTTCGTGTAGCTAAAACCATTTAAACTTCGCTTCGTGTGGCTAAAAACAACTTGGCTTTGTGTAGCTAAAAACATATAAGCTTTGTGTAGCCACATAGTTCAAATTTTAGCAACATAACACAAATATAAGTTGCATATGTTTTTGGCTACATAGCTCAACTTTTAGCTATTGACCTTAATTTTTATTATATTTTATTACACAAATTTCAATTTCGAGCTACAATTCTTAATTTGAGCCTACATAACTATGTTGCAAACAATTTAGCTATCTAGCTAAAAGAATTAGCCCGGTAGAATTGTGATTTATAGCTTAAAATTGAGTTTCTCCGACAACGGCATTTCGCTTTCAGATCGGCGTCGGGGAGGCGCTGGTGAAGGAGCTCAAGTTCGCCGTGCGCTGCTCGGACTCTACCAAGCCCGTGCGCTACAAGGACAGCTCCAGCAGCGGCAGCTCGTCCAGCAGCCGCAGCGTCCACAGCAGCACGCGGTCCAGCGCCAGCGGCAGCGCGCGTGGCAGCCGCGCCAGCATCGCCAGGCGGGCGGCCAGGGCGTCGGCGCCCTCCGCCGCCAGCCCCTGAGGAGGGGCGCTCAGCCAAAACACTCTTCTATGTAGAATAGAAAGCGTAGCTGTGATCTCATTCGTGTACTTATTTTTATGATGTGCTTCAGTTTGTTAAACACTTTTCTCACGACTCTACTACAACCCCCCCCCAAAAAAAAAGAGTAAATAATAAATTATCATTGAACAATGAACCGAAAAGAAGTGTTTACTTTAAATGTGATGGGTGTAATTAAACAAATTCACAATAATTCAGGATATTTTAAATTAAGAATTAAGAAATTAAGTCTGAGGACTTCATTTCTGAGCACAACATTACATTAGCGTTCTAAGTCTCCCTCGTTTTTAGGAAGTCGTTAAAACGGCTTTTCCGTATGCTACTAAGCCAGTTGTTGAGATATTTTTGGACAGTAATGATATGCGGCACTGCAGCCTGATCCAGTTGAAATATACAATCCAGCGCACCAGCAACCCAGGAAGCAGTCAGAGCTCCTTCCTAGCCCCAGCTCAAGCAAGCATAAACTTGATCCAATCTTTTCACTGAAAACAAGAAACCAAATGCATGGGTATTGGTCGAGCCCGGGTGACACTTATCAAAAAGCATTTTGCTTTTGGGACACACGAAAGAAAGTTGAAATGCGAAATTAAGAACGCCAACGCTTTGGGCAACACCGAGCACGAAGCCCGTACTGAGAACTTCCAAACGCCCTCAACGCCAAATCAAGCCAAATTCACCCCACCTTACGCCACATCAGGCCCAATTCAACTCAGTTTAAGACAGATCAAGCCCACATTACGCCAGATCACGCGAGATCAAGCCTACATCACGCTGGCTCATGCCAGCTGCCAGTACAGTCAGGTCAACAACTATATGACGACATTGTTCTGAGAGGTACATGACACCCCGCCGGCTCAAGGCAAATGGTTGAGTCTCCGGTGCCGGTATTGTGTGTGCTGCGATGATGACGTTCTCTGTGACGGGAGCAGGAGCACGGCGGCTAACGGCCCGGTCGGCGCGGCAGCCACTTAGCGTCGTCCAGCGGGTGTCTGTCGGCGGGGGCGTCGGCCGCTGGCCCCCGCTGGCGGGACGGCGCAGTCAGGATGCGTCCGCGGGCGGCTGTGGGGCTCGTGCTGCTCGCCGTGCTGCTCGCCGTGGTGCAGGCCGCCGGGGCCGCCCGCGCGCACCAGTGTGGCGGCCTCGCCAACGCGACCCGGCCGCACCACGGCGGCGACCTGCTCTCCCGACGCAGGCGATACGTGGTCTTCCCCACGGGCAGCTCCATCCAGGTACTTGACATGACCGACCGCCCCCCCCCCTGTGAAAAATATCGTCGTAAATTTACAAAAAATTTTGTAAACTTGAATTATAATTTAAGTTGCAAATTTACGACAGTACATTTTTTACTCGCCAAGGGATTTGAAGTCGATACAAACTGCATGTATTTTTACGATTACAAATTGTAATTTTACAACTTGCGTCAAGAAAATTTTTCCTGTAAACCTACCTAAGTTTTTTCATAGTGGCCCGGGGAAGTCGTGGGGTCAAGTTCCCACCGTTCCGCAGTTATTGAGTCTATAGGACTTGTGCCGACGCTATGATAGGCCTATGATAAAGTTACCTGACCCGAGTAATGTTACCTGCAGGCAGGGTGACATATTTATCACGGACACCTTCACAATACATCCATACGCACCCAGAGAACCATTTAGTTCATAAAACGAAATCAGGGTATTAAGAAGCAAAATTTAGTTCCCAAAACCGACTTAAATTTAGTAACCCCATTTCTCACTAAATATGGTCGCACCAATCAAATTAAGTCAGCTAGACTAAATTATTTCATCGCCACGGATAAATTTTGTTCTCCAGAGCTAAAATTTCGTCGGTTTTAAATTTGGTTCTCTGGACTAAACGGTCTTCTGGGTGCGAGACGCACTTTACTACAAATTCAAGCGTTTAGTTTTTCTGCTCTATTCTCGACTTTTTTATGTTCTGATTTTTTGGAGGGCGTCTGCGTCTACTGATTTTTTT